ACACCTTGTTATCTCAGATTCTCCAGCATCAGCAGTTCCTACTATCTCTATAATTTTATGGTTTCCTTTTGATTTACTGCGTCACCTTTTACATTAAACTAAACAATGGGGGAATAGATGTCCATGAAACTGGAAATTGATTTGAATGCCTTGTTAAAATCAACTTGTCAAAATATATATTGCTAATAATTATTTTTCTTTCTTTGCTTTGCCTTCAGCTATTAAATTTTTGATTTGCTGCATTGTGCTCCAACTTGCTCAATACGGTAAGCAGACTAGAATAACTGCTCTGGTAGCTGCAAATGCACTAGTTATTTAATTGTATTTCTCTCAATTTTACAAAAGAATTGCCAGATGCTATTATAGAGAATGCTGTATGGCAGGTACAAATTCAAATGATGAGCTGAACATTCATTTATTTTCTACGATACAGAGAGAATTATTTATTTATTTATCTATCAAAAGAAACAGTATGCATCTCTTGAGTCACAGCCTACCTCCTCACATTTGCAAAAACTGGCTCCCACCTTCCTCTCTCAAGATCTATATATGAATCCAGTTTGTTTTTCTAGTTCCAGATAATACCCAATACGCCAGTAAATTGATATCTTTCGCTAATGTCTAAACACAGATTTCAAATTCCTTAGCTATGGCGTTGAAGGTTTCACCACCCATACTACTTCAGTCAACTGTAGAGCAAGAAAAGTTGCTCTTAACTTTAGTTCTGTATTGCTGATCACAACTGATTGTTGAAAAGTTTCTGAATAGGCAAAGCTTTGCATGTAGGGAACAACTCACTGTGCCATGGTGTCCTGTATGGATGAATGTGGCAGACACCTCACGCAGCAAGATCTAATAATAATTAAATAGATAATCTTTTGGTGATGTTATGACTTGAGAAGAATATTGGCCTGGATATTGGCAAAGGGAGGAAATAGTTTATATTGGGCAATTCTAGATCTCAAGTTTGCTGGAGTGTTTTGTGTTTCTACATGTACTTCATTGTTACTGTTGCTATAGGGAAACACTTTACACAAAATTGCATATATAAGATTCCAGTGACCACAATGAAACATATGACCAAATATTCATTTACTTTAAGTGATGTTAGAAGAGCACTGAGTATTGGCCAGATTGACTGAAGAACTTTTGTTTTCCATGTGTTTTATCCTCATGGTGCCATGACATTTCTTGCATTTATTCGGAAGGGCTGACTGGGCCTCATGTTGGATGTTTCATCTGAAAGAGGATATCTCTGACAGTGAGGCATTCCTTCATTATTACACTGACATGTCAGTCTGGGTTATAATACTGTTTATAGATTGGAACTTGAACCCACAATCTTCGTATTCTGGAGTGAGAGTTTTACTATAGAACTTGGCTTGTTCGTTACATTCTGTACACCTGTATGGCCAGATCTAGGACTCCTGTCTTATCTGAAGTATTTAAAGCCTGTTGCATAGGATTGAAGCAATGGTTTTGAATTAATTCCCCACCATGATTATTACTTTTTCTAATTGTCATGAGACACCTATTAGTTCTAATGATGCATGCTGGTACTTCTGATATTGTTGGGGTGGAATGACTAAATGAATCACTCAACACCTGTGGAGTCCACTTCCAGTATCAAAGAGTTTATTGATGTGACACCAGGTGGGAAGAAAACTTCTGGGGTCCAGAAGCTTCTTCACTGAAGAAAAGAAATAAACTTTTATACATTTTTCAATCCACCTTAGCATTTACAAATCAATTACAAAGTGAGAGGGAGGAGGATGGCCTAGTGGTATTATCGCTGCACTGTTAATCCAGAGACCCAGATAACATTCTGGGAATCAGGTTCAAATCCTGCCATGGCAGATGGTGGAAATGGAATTCAATAAATATCTGGAATTAAGAATCTAATGACAGGAATCCATGATCGATTGTCGGAAAACCCATCTGGTTCACTAATGTCCTTCAGGTAAGGAAACTGCCAACCTACGTGTGACTTCAGACCCACAGCAATGTGGTTGACTCTTCACTGCCCTCTGGGCAGTTACGGATAGGCAATAAATCCGTATTCATCCCATGAATGAATAAGGGGAAAAAAAATACATATGCATCCAGTCAATAACACAATCGGGTCAATCTGTGATTGTATGATCAGTTGATGGACAGTTATAGGTCTTGCCATGAGTTCATGATGTTTACCAGACATTTTGATCACTTATCCTTGGGCTTTCACCATGCACCTTATTCAACCACATTCCACTACTGCTGACTTCTGTACCTATTATTCACTTTTCTCTGCTAAGGAGGCTGGGGGCTTCTCCCTTTTGTTTAAAGCTGCCTCTCCATGGGAATTCAGTTAAATCCTTCGGTGTCTGTTACATTTACAACTCCATTGGTATTGAGAAAGGATCTCAATACTGAGTCAAGTTTTTTTTTCCCTTTTTACTCCACATTAATTAGCAAACTTTGAATTAGCTTGCACGTGGGGTTTCTATTTGTGCTTCTTACGGATATCTCATCAAAACTGTCACTGTTTAAGCAGTAGGTAGCTACATTTTATTTGCTTCTTAAGATCCCATTGTGTGATTTTGAGATACTTTATATCTTATCTGGTTGCTATGAGCACAAAGGCCATGATTCTTACTGTAAATGACTGCTTCACCTAACAATCAGCATTTTTATGTCAACTGAAAGCCATGGGCAACCATTCTGTTAACTAAGAACCATGGTCAACGAGAAGGGAAGAATAAAAGTGTGAATAATGAGGGAAATGTTTCTGGGGAGGAATGTAAAGTAGTTGTTATAACCTTTCAGAATGACAGTAGTCATTTATTTAAATTTATTCCTCAGTTTTAATTTCATTTTCTGACCTAAAATGTCAAAAATTAATAGCATAAATATGCAAAAGTCTTATCTTAAAATCTAAAATTGTACAGTTTTTCTTAATTGAATTTTATTGAAGGATAAAAACTGATTAACTCCAACTAGCATTTAATATGATCTTGAAAATTAATTCCAACTTTTATTTTTAAAAGGATTTTCTTATGGTCTGTCAATATGCAGAAAAGTCCCTTAGAAGTGTCAAGTGTACTCTTGATGCAAAGATATTTTCCACAACTTGCAGTAAATATCACTCTCTCATGAAATTTCAGCCTTCCCTTAGGAAGGAAAGATGTGCATGTTTTTTACCAATACAAGCATGATTTTTTGTTTTTGCATTTGTGCGTGCATTGTTCTTTTCTATCTCATCTCTTACTTTTTTCAAACCACATTCTTCTTATAGGTTTTCAGGAGGTAAGCTGTTGCCTTTTAGGATAATCCATCAGTTGCAGAATATTTGAATTGGTTCTCACATTAATTTTCTGACTTTTTGTGCAAATTTGTCAACTTATTATGCAATATTTAGAATATAAATTTTAAAATAAAGGTTAAAAATGAGTAAGGCTGGTTAGCGACCAGAAATTTACCAGGGATTTACAAGTGGAGGTAGCAGGCATTATTGAGATGCTGGATGAAAACTTTTCCCTCTCTAGTGAAGAGAGATGCTATATTATTCTGTAAGTAGAAAGGTTCAAATTTGATCAGGAAAATTGGATGTTGTTGGCACATAACATTGACAAGGCACTGGGAACAGATGAGATGCATCCAAGGATTTTGGAGATTTTGGGAGTACTGGCAACTATCTTTCAAACTTGCCTAGACTTGGAAGTACCAGAAGACTGATAACTATGCAAACATCACAGCCTTTTTAAACAAATGTAGGAAGGATAAGGGCAACCATTACAAACCATTGGTGGGGGACCTTCTAGAAACAGTCAATATAGAATTAGACAGCCTCCCAGCTGATGGCCCCCCCAAACCTGTACAGCCCGCTTCTACCTGTTCCCATAATCTGCAAACGGGACTGCCTGGGCACACCCACTGTTTCTGCCTGTTCCTGCCCCATAAAACTTATTTCTTCCTACCTCGGATCTATTTTTTCCTGCCCGTGTGCATTCCCTGCCCACTGACGTCTGCAATTCTCCTTGACCCGAAACGTCAGCTTTCCTGCTCCTCTGCTACCTGGCCTGCTGTGTTCCTCCAGCTCCAAACTGTGTTATATCTGCAGTTCTCCTGATGCTTTGCACCAGTTTCAGAATTTCTGGTTCATGGACACTAGCCAATTCCTCTTCACCGTAGACGTGCAATCCCTTTACACATCCATTCCCCATCAAGATGGTCTCGGTGCTGTCGCTTCTTTGTGGAAAGAAGACCTGAACTGTCCCCATCCTCCTCCACCCTCCTCCGTCTGGCCGAGCTCATCCTCCATTTGGATAACTCTGCCACTAGCTCTTCCCACTTTCCTCCGATCAAACGTGGCCGTGGGTGCCTAAATGGGCTCCCAGTTATGCCTGTCACTGTGGAGTATTCGGAATATCCCTTGTTCCAATCCTACTCTGGTCTGTCCAAATACATCCTTTTAAAGGTAAAATTGTGATTAACTAACTTGCTGGAGTTTTTGAAGAGGTAATAGAAAGCTTGGTGTGAGCAACACTGTGGTGTACATGGACATCCAGAAAGTGTTTGATACGGTGCCACACAACAGACATTTTGAGGAAAATTTTAGGTCATGGCATAAAATGGACAGCGGAAACATGAATAGAAAATTGGCTGAGTGATATGAAATAAGAATAGTGGTCATTTTTTGTTTATTCATTCATGGGATGAAGGTGTCGCTGGCTAGGCAACATTTATTGCCCAGAGGGCAGTTAAGAGTCAGCCTCATTGTGGGTCTGGAGTCACATGTAGGCCAGACCAGGTAAGGATGGCAGTTTCCTTCCCTAAAGGACATCAGTGAACCAGAAGGGTTTTTCCAGCAATCGACAATGGATTCATGGTCATCATTGGAGTCTTAATTCCAAATATTTTTGTTGAATTCAAATTCCACCCTCTGCCATGGCAGAATTCAAACCCAGGTCCCCAGAACATTATCTGGGTCTCTGGATTAACAGTCCAGCAATAATACCACAAGGTCAGTTTGAGCTGGAGGAAGGTGTTAGCAGTGTTCCTGGGGTGAGTGGGTTGGAGGGGCGGGGGGGAAGGGGTGGTAACAATTGGGACCCTTTTCCTGATACATTATTCACCTAGATCTTCGTGTGCAAGGGACAATTTTGAAGCTTGCAGATAAAACACAGCTTGACAGAATTGTAAACAGTGAGGCATACAGCATAGAACTCCAGAAGGAGACGCAAGTTGGTGGAGGGGGAGGATAGGTGGCAAATAGCATTCAATGCAGTGAAGTGTAAGGTGATTTGGGAGGAAAAACATTGAATTTCAATGAAATAAGGGTACAATTCTAAAGGGGGTACAGGAGCAAAGGATCAAGAACCAGAGGACACAGAATTAAAGTGATTTACAAAAGAAGCAAATGTGAGGTGAGAAAAACAGTTCCCACACGGTGAATAGTTAGGATATGGAATGCACCGCCTGGAGGGGCAGGTTCAATTGAGGCCTTCAAGACAATATTGGCTGATTATTTGGTTAGAAATAATGTGCAAGGGCATAGGGGGGAGAAAAGCAGGAGATTGGCCTTGGGTAATTATTCTCATCTGTGGCAGTGCAGACATGATGGACCATAAGGCCGTCTCCTCTGCTGTAACACTTATGTATCCCTATGATGTAAATGTGAAGTAGTATCGTGAGATGCGTTCTCTAAGAATATGCTTTTTCACAAAGTATTCTTTAGAATTCCTTCTCCTCTTCCTCCTGTGTCAGGTTCTTTTGAACCCACAAGATCATTTCATGCAAGGTGCACTTATTGCCAAGCACAATAGAAACAGGAGAGTTAATGGTGATAATGGACAGTGGGTACTGCTTGTGATCACGTAGTTCAATAACCATATTTAATAGTAATGGAAGATGTAAATACATGTTTCTCAACAAAGTGCACAGTATCTGGAAAAATATGGAAGGTTAAAGGTTTCTGATCCAGTCATTGAAGCTTCAGTTTTGTTGTCAGTTGCCACAGAATCCATTAGCCATGTTAGTCTTGCCATCATCTTCCATTGTACATGCACCTTTTATTTGTCACTTTTTTTTTGCTGAAGGTTCACACAGTCCAGACATAACTATTCACTCATTGTAAAAATCTAACTTGTGATATTACAAGTCTATACTTTTATTGCTTTGAGACACTAATTTCTTTTTTCAATTTCAGATTAGCCTTCATGTATTGAACTGTTTGAGAGCATCACGTCTGAGTGCAGTTGATCGCTTTTGTCCTACTACCTGCTGCCATTTCCCTCTGAATTGCTTGAATGGATGAAAACAGTGCATTAGCCCATGTATGAATCATCCAGTTGGTGCCAAATGCACTGCCTACATAGCTGTATAATAAGCCATATATTTAAACAGCAAGGGTGCTAATCCTGGTTGTTGACACAAGACTTTGCCTAATTATTAAGTGTCTCTATCAGGGAAATTTTGTATTTATCACTTGATTTCAGTTATATATCTCTCTCTGCTTTTGGTTAATGTGCCTGAAAATTACTAAATACTGGAGTCTTTTTTAATTATTGAATATATTGAAGAACTTTTTTATAATTTGCTTTTCTTCTCTTTTTGAAGATTGACTTTAAACCTTGTAATTGAATTAAACTGGTACTATTCCAAATTTCCTATGCCCTAGAAGGGAGGAACATTTTGACACTTAAATATACTTGAGCATGCACAATCAAGTAATGCTTCTATGCCAAATGTATAAATGCACATGTGGCACTTCAGTAGGTCAGAGGAAGTCTTCAGTTTTGTCAGGTTTCTGCAGGACTAATTCAATGTTACCAGGTGATAGTATAAAAAGACAATTGTTTACCATCTAAATGCTAGATAGGGTTACCTCATAGGAGTAAATTTGTGGAGCATATACTTTTCTAAAATTTTCAAACCAATCTTGCCTATTGTTTTGCCAGCAGTGATGTTGGAACTTACTGTGCTACTACTAATTGGTCAAATCTTGAAATTATTTATGTGAAACGGATTTGAAATTTCAAATCCAACTGGCAGATAACCACTGGCCAAATGGATGAATATGAAAGAGCTCGTGTGCCCAGCACTATTGCATATTCTATAAGTTTAAATAAAAACATTATGGTGAAATGCTTCAGATGGATTGAATTTTAACATAGGAAGTTTGTATTAATATTACATTAAGTGTATTTATCATTTGTAGTTGAAATTTTGGACAATAATGGTTAAAGCTTAAGATTTCTTTGGTAGTTGTATAAGAAATATATTACATAATACAATTGCAACTACATAATCTTTGTTGCATTTTAGAGATCTTTGCATTTCTGATTTATAACCTAGCTGTAATACCATATAGCAATCTGAAGTTGTGACAAAATATTGACGTAGTTGTAGGTTGCTTGCAGGTTTTTCTTTAAGAACAACAGTCCATAATCAGTTGTTTCTTCTAAGCACAGCTCTCAATTTCTCTCACCGTAGTGCCATTCAGTATTGCTGTAAAAGTGCAATGCATGCATTGGTTTTTGGGCCTACAGTTGTCTCTTTGTATTCAAATCAAGTAAAACTGTCTTTTCTACCCTTTATAGGAGATGTTTGGTTTGCGAACATCTTTCTCCAAACACACGTCCTGGATGAAACCATGTTCTCTTGATTGTTGTTGGCTATGCTTCATGTACTTTAGAGAATCTTACACAAAAAAACTTTGATTTAAGCCTTTTGTTTCATCAGTCATGTAACTTTAATTATTAAACTTTTTTTCATTGAAGAGAAAGCTGGATGCTTAGTTTTCTTTTATAATTAAGTCAAGCCTATGGTTCAAAATTGTGGCTTCTCCCCATGACTTGGTTTATAATTGTAAGACGAGGCATGCTGAATGTTCAGCAAACAGCGTCTGTAACTTCATTCCTTAGATTATGTTGAGGTTACTGACTTCAGCTGACTTGACAACAGGACGGGAAGTGAAATACATTTGACTGCCCCTCCCCATTTTCCCTCCAAACACAGCTGCAATGTTACTGGGGTTTGGGAGGTATTGTGCTACCTGTGGGCCACTTGGATCTCCTGCCTCCAATAGATTTTAATCTCAGCAGAGAAGGCTGGTTCAAACTGTCTGGCACCCAACCATTTAAAACCTAGTGCATGTTGTCTGGAGATCTATCTTTTGGGATCCCTGTGCCCTTTGGAGAGCTCCACCAAGGTATTGTCTACCCCCACACTTTTCTCTCATCATGCCCTGCTTGCCTCTTCATTGGGTTTGCCAACTTGGCCCTGAGAATGTGATAGGCATAAGCGTACCTTCAAGTCTGGCTTCGTTGCAGCATTCTTCCTCTTCGCCCCCATCCAATTAACAATCCAGTGCCCCCTAAATAACTATAGGGTGATCAAGTGGGAACAGCAGACATATTTAGTGCTCATTTCACCACTAGGGTGGAAATTGAGCCACAGAAATCAGGTTGCATGTTATTTTGCTAAGGTGCAGCATGTAAGTAAGGAAAAAGAGGAGTCAGAATGTTGGGTTTGATTTTCCAAGGAATAGCAATCGCACTCGGATTGTTACTCTGCTTCTGTTTTACATTGAGCAAGAGCTGTGCATTTTTGACAGATTCTGGTCACTGCTTTGCACTTCTGAAAGGAGCTTACTTTAAATCTAACATGTTCCTTGTGGTGCAAGGTAGTCAGGTGAAGGCAAACCAAACTGCAGTCCCCTCCTACATTCTGAAATATTCGGAAGTGTTGTCTGATTTTTACCACACATCTAGTGACTTTACAAAAATCTCATTAGCCAACACTGACTCATAATGGAAGTGTGTTGAATGATGTGAATCTACTGTATTTGAGTTGCATATTAACCTTGCCACAAAAAGTGAAGTTTTTGTCTATTCCAGTATCCTTTCTAACAACATTGGAATCGATAACTCCCAATTAATCTCCCTCAATCCAAGCTTTCTTCCCCATTATTCATGTTTCTGAACTTGATTTGACTTCGATTCACCCATGCTAAGTTATACTTCCTTGTTAATTTCACAACTCTTCAATTTGGTTAAGGAGATCCAATTAGGCATACCCTTTTCATTCCGGCCCAGATGCTTTGTTTCTTTTGCTGCAGTTGCCAATGCACTGACCTAGCACACTTGTTTTTCAACAGCCTTTTAATTCTTTTGTGTTGCAAATCTTAACTAGATGTCCTGCTATAGCAATGTGTGCCTCGCTTTCTAGACTTGGATGCCAGCCTGCGTAAACATGGCCTGTGCTCCCTGAAGGCTGTTAGTGACCAGTATGCCACTTTTTTTTTTCTGATTCTAGTCAGAAATGATCAGATTTATTGAATTCAATCTCTTCTCCCTGTAATGGGTGTTGATTTAAATCCAGTATACTACGCAACCAAGCTTTGAGTTGGTAATGGGTGGAAAGGATTTCTTCTTTATTTATCATTTGTCATAACATCAGCATGACTCAGATATGCTTGAATATAGAAGATAGGAGCAGGAGTAGGCAACTGGACCCCTTGCACCTGCTCTGCCATTCACTATGATGGTTGACCATTGAGCTCAGTACCCTAATCCTGTCCACCCAAACCACACCCTGCTCCCCCCCCAACCAAAATAACACTTGCTCCCTTTTATCCAAAAGAGCTGTATTTACCTTCTGCTTGAAAGCACATAATGTTTCGGCCTTAACCACTTTCTGTGGTAGTGAATTTCACAGAATCACCACGCTGGGTGAAGAAATATTTCCTCATCTCAGTCCTAAAAGGTTTATCCTTTATCCTTCAACGATGTCCCCTGGTACTGGTCTCCCCTACCATCCGGAGCATCCTTCCAGCAACTAATCTGTCTAGTCCTGTTAAAATTTTTATAGGTTTCTGAGTTCCTTCCCTTGTTCTTCTAAACTAGAGTACAATCCTAACTGACTCAATCTCTCTTCTCCTTACTCGTCAGTCCTGCCATCCCAGGAATCAATCCTCTGCGTCCTTTGCTGCATAGAAAGAAATCCTTCCTCCAATCAGGAGACCAAAACTGCACACACTATTTCACGTGGCCTCACCAGTGCCCTGTATAATTGCAGCAAAACACTCTTGTTCTTATACTCAAGTCCTTTTGCTATGATAGTCAACAGTTTTTTGTCTTCACTGCCTGCTACACCTGCATGCTTACTTTCAGCAACTGGCATGCGAGGTCACCCAGGGCCCATTTGAGCATTTCAGATAATCGGCCTTCCAGTTTTTGCTTACCAAAGTGATAACTTCAGCTTTGTTCACATTAAACTGCATCTGCCATGTATTTGCCCGATTACTCAGTCTGTACAAATCACACTGCAAATATTCAAGTATTTGGGAGTCTTGCTGCTCTTGGGGGGAAATTGTGGCAGATTTACAAGGTTAGGTTCCATCAACAGCAATCAAGTAAATTTCAGGTCACCCGTTTTAGTGCAGGTGATTGAAGGCTAAATAATGGCCAGGATACTAGGAATATTTGCATGCTCCCTTTCATGTAGTGTCATGAGACCTCTTGACACCTGAGAATGTAGAAAAGATCTCTTGACCTTGCTTGAAAGAAGGTAACATACCTTGCTGACAGTGCAATAGTTCCTTTAGTACTTCGGTATCAGCCTATATTTGAATTCTCAAGGCTCTGAAATTAAGTTGGATCTAAATTAAAGGCTATCAGTACAGGTGCTGTCACTGAACCAAGACTAACACCTAAAACATTCTTTTGGATCTATTTGTGTATTTTTTTCCTTCTTGTGAACATATTCTGTCACTAGCAAAGTATTCTTTTCCAGTTCTAATCCCATTTTTCACCTTTTTATTGAAAGGAAATGTTCCTAGAAAAAAATCTGGAAACATTACATGTTAAGCAATTTGTGGGCCAGGTGACCAATTCCTTTAGA